TTGAAGAAATATTTTTGAAAGTTGGAAACTTTTTACATTTTTTGCTTAATCAGTTAAAAAAATAAATTTTTCCCCTTTCCTGTCACCCCTACCCCCATCGAACTCAGGACCTTGCACGGCACCACTAAGCTAAATCCCTGGCCCTGATTTTATTTTTCTTAAAGTTTTTTTATGTTCAGGCCTAGAATCTCATAGGTATTCAATAAATCATCTCAGGTAATCTTCACCACAACCTTTTTTTTTTTTGGTACCGGGGATCGAACTCGGGTCCTTGTGCTTGTGCAGCAGGCAGCGAAACCACTGAGCTAAATCCCTGGCCCTGATTTTATTTCTTTTTAAGTTTTTTTATGTTCAGGCCTAGAATCTCATAGGTATTCAATAAATCATCTCAGGTAATCTTCACCACAACCTTTTGATTTGAGTTCTACTAATAAGAAAAGAGGTACAGAGAGACTAAATAACTTTTCCAGTGGCAGACACCCAGTCATAGTGAAGTTTGAGGACCCTGTCCCCTATCTTCAAAGCTTTCATCCTTAATTCAAACTAAGTAGCTTTCCATGCTGATTTTCCAATGAGGTCCCAATTTCTAGAAAAGCAACTGCAGATTGAAATGGTATTTCCCTAAATGAACTCTACGATGTTAACTTCCAGAAAATATCATTTTAATTGAATAAAAGGCTAACTTTTTAGAATTTTGGAAAATTCTATTTGAAGGAAAAAGGGAAAATATACAGTATAGCATATTAAATGTAATTTTACCTACCTGTTAAATATTTGCTAACACAGTAAACCTTAGATATTTTGAGTGCTCTGTACTAATGGTTTACTAATTATACTAATTTCACCACAAATTTAATGGCTTAAAACTGTACAACTTTTGTCTGATTATTACGTGGGTTACAAGTCTAACAGGGGATTGACTGGGCTAAAATCAAGGTGTTGGCAGATCTATTTTCCTTTCTGGAGACTGAGGGAGAATTTGTTTCTTTGTCTCTTTCAGCTTCTGTAGGATAACCTCGGCTCCTGGTTATCTTTCTTCATTTTCCAAGGTCTACAGGACAGGTGGAATTCTCACATAAAAACAGTTCTGACTTCCTCTGACATCTTGTCTTTGATTTTTAAGGACCACTGTGATAACACTGGGCTCACACAGAAAATCCAGGTTAACCTCCCTATCTTAAAATTAGGTAATTAGAAACTTCAATCTCATCTGCAACCTTAATTCCCCTTTGCCACGTCACGTAATATATTTGCAAGTTTTAAGATTAGAACATGGTCATCTTTGGGGAGAAATCATTGTGCTTATTACAGTAACAAAGAAAGTCCCACCTGTAGCACAATGTGATTCTACTATTAAAAAAAGGGGATGAAGACATGTGTTTTCCACTTCTTTTTCATTATTCCTCTTTTAGTGATAGAAGAAGAGATACTAGCTTCAGTGGGAAACACTAATTTGGATTAACTAGCATGTAAGAAATTAGTCTGAATTTTAAAAATGTGTCTTGTAAGTCTAAAAATCTTTAACTATCTTTCACCTATGCAACACTATCAGTATTCTACTGTAGTACTTTCAGGACCATACTTTCAGTAAAAGTACATTTTTGTTAGTTATCATACTTTCCTGAAACTTCATATCATGTACCAGAAGACATTTACCCTAGCTAGGGATGACCTTTGCTCTCTTTATTTATATATACAATGAAAACTCATGCTGTTTGAATGAAAAGCATCTGAATCTTAAGTAATGAGACCTATACTTTTCAGACAGCTTACGTGAAGAACAATTATTCTAACTCAATTGTCCAGCAGTAGAAATACATGAGGGAAACTTTTCTTCATGGTCCTAGCAGGACTTGAACTCAAGGCTTCACGCATGCTAGGCAAATGTTTTATTTTGAGATGGGGTCTCATTAAATTGCCTAGGCTGGGCTCAAACTCTGAAACTTGTGATTGTCTTGCTTCAGTCTCCCAAGTAGCTGGGACTGCCCACGTTGCCCTGCAGGGAAATATTTTCAACCCATACAAAGGGAATGCTTTGGTATTACTTGCTTAACATAGCTCAGTTCCTACTTCCCCTATTTAAAAAAATTGTTTTCTTATGGTACATGGGATTGAAAGGCCTTTGCATTGAGTTACATCCCCCCAAACCTTTCCTTTTTTTCGTACCGAGAATCGAACTCTGATCCTTGCACTTGCGAGGCAGGAGGCAGAACCACTGAGGTAAATCCCTGACCCCCCCCTCCACTTTTTAAATTTTGAGACAGGGTCTCTCTAAATAGCAAAATTGTCCAGACTGGGCTCAAACTTGAGATCTTCCTTGATTCAGTCTCCCAGTGTGCTAGGATTACAGGCGTGCATCACCACATCTGGCTTCAGCTTCCTCAACATTTTCCAATTTATCCCCCACATTTCCACCAATCTGCTGGATGGTAACAATATTATCCCACCACCAATGTAAGAGATCAAACAAAAAAATTATTAACTGAAAGTATTTAAATCAATAATCTATTAATTGCCAAATAAAGCAGTCCTTGATATTAAATAAATTTATAAACTAACATCACTAATAGCAACAAAAATAAACTACATAAGAATAAACTTAGAGGGCCAGGGATTTAGCTCAGTGGTTCCACTGCCTGCCTCTCAAGTGCAAGGTCCTGAGTTTGATTCCCAGTACCAAAAAAAAAAAAAAAGGAATAAGCTTAGAAAATAAGTAAAATTAAGAAAACAAGATAAATGAAATTGTTGCCAGATTTATATTAAATACGGAAGGGTGACATTTATATCAAATAATGTGTGTGTATGTATGTATATATACTCATACTAAATTTCAGGTAATCCTTACATATATATAATATTTTGGGATCTAAAAATATGATGTGTCAGACAGCATAATATTACTGGAATTTGTAAAAAAAAGGTTAACTCTTAAGGCCCCAACTCAAACTCACTGAAATCAGAAACTCTGAAGCCAAGGCTCAACCAACTATATTTTACCTAGCTTTCTACCTGATCCTGATTAAAAATTTGAGAACTACTGATGTAACCTCAAGAATAGTAACAACACAAGTCCTTTTCCTTAAGAGGAAAGTAGAAGTAGATAAAGTGATTCTAAAGGTCAAATGAAAAGATAATCAAAATTTTGGCACTAGAGATGGAACAGATTGGCAAAGACATTAATAGGAAAGAATCACAAGTCTATACATAAGGAATTTAGTATATGGTAAAAGTGGCATTTTAAATCAGAGAAGAATTGTAGAGACAAGTGGGAGGAACTCATAAACAATGAACCAACCAGCCAAATAAATAAGTAAATGGAACACTAAGTAACTGGAGGAAATCATAAATACATTTTTATGAAATAAGTAAAATCCTTCTTAAGCAATACAAAATCACAGGATAAAGGGAACTAGAGAAAAAGACACTTGTAATATAGAAAACAGATAAAAAAGACTAGTTACTCTAACTTAGAAAAAGCTATTCTAAATTTTAAAAATTAATTTTCTTTCTTTGTTTTTTTTTTTTTTTTTGGTACTGGGGATTGAACTCGGGACCTTGCGTTTACAAGGCAGGCTCCGGAACCACTGAGCTAAATCCCCAGCCCTTAAAAGTTAATTTTCAATGACTGAAAGAGATGAAGAGGTATTCTTGTATGTGGTGGTGGAGGAAAGTCGATAAATATATGAAAGGTATTATTCAGTTTTACTTATAACTTAAAGAGAATATTAAACCATTAAAGAGATATTTTCTAACTTTTAAATAGGCAAATACACTTGAAAATACAAACTGGCAAAGGCGAAAGGAAAAAGCATTTTCCTTTAATGAAAGTTGTTATAAACTAATGAAATCTTATTGCACAGATGATTTAGCAACATCCATGAAAATTTAAAAACAAATATACTTTATGTTTCTAAGGTAGGAATTTATCCTATAGGTGTATCAGTGTGTATGGCCAGAGAAGCAATGATATTCTTTCCATTGGTTTTCTTTGCATTAGTATGTTTATATTATTTACGTATTTATAATGCTCACATTACTTTGTGCCATTGGTACATGTACCTAACACTCCTTAATTCCTTTTTCAGTCCCTTCGCTTCCCCTATCTCCCAGTCCCTCCATCTCTTGATCCCCTTCTCACTTGAGAAAAATCTTCCTACTTCGTATTATTTATCATTTATTTTGTTCTTTATAATTTGTGTTTCTTTTATAAAAGAAACCATGGGACATTTTAGCTTACGTGTCTCATTTATTTCACTTAACATTACAGTCTCAAAGTGCATCTATATTCTTATAAATGATTCGAATTTATCTTTATGTTGACTCATACTTCATTGTGTGTAAATACTAATTTTCTTTATCCATTCATCTGCTGATGGACATACAGACTGCTTCCAAGTTTTAGTTACTATGAGTTGTGCTGTTATAAACCTGGATATTAATGCAATATGATGTCTTTAATTCCTTAAGGAAGATAGCTACAAGTGGAATAGCTGGGTAAATGGAATTTCTAGGGTTTTTTTGGGTTTTGGGGGTTTTTTTTTTGGTACCGGGGATCGAACTCGGGTCCTTGCACTTGGGCAGCAGATGGCGAAACCACTGAGCTAAATCCCTGGCCCCTGGAATTTCTAGTTTTACTTTTTTGAGGAATCGTTATACCAATTCCCATAGTGGTTGTACTAGTTTATACACCTACCAACATTGTAGAAGGGTTCCTATTTGAATGCTTGATTATGGCCATTCTTTCTGGGGTAACATGGATTCTTAGTGTTGTTTTAATTTGCATTTCTCTAATGGCCAGAGATGCTGAGTGCTTCTTCATGTATTTATCAGCCATTTGTATTTCTTCTGTCATTACTGTTTGAAATAATAAAAAAGCAGAAAAATCCAAAGGTTTGTGACTGGAATATGTATGAGTTATAGACTATCTATCTAGAGAATAACAGGCTACCACAAGTAAAAAAACACCAATTATATAGTTGCACAACAGTGAAAATGTAATATAAATGTAAAGAATCATAGTTTAATAGGATTATTAATGGTTAATTTAAAAAATATAAACAACCAGTCAAACAAAAATGGGATTGTTCTTTTTTTCAATTTGGGTCAATCTCTAAGATAAAGTGCTAAGTCAAACATAAACAAAATAGTAATGAATATCTAGTTTTCTTCTATACAGTAAGTCCCTGACTTAAGAACATTCCAGGTGCAAACTTTATAGATAGGAACATACCTTGCATTAGAACACTCATAGATGTGGGAACAAATCATGGAAGTAGCTCATTTTTCTGCCAGACACTGTCACAGTTGTGCCGCTGTATGGTTAGTCTACAGTGTGATAGTGTACAGTACTTTTGTGTTTGTTTTTATGCTTTACATTGTATATTTGTGTCAAAGGTATATAGGACTCACTTTGTTAGACTTACAAATGAATCTGACTTAAAAAGGTTCTGGAACGAAACTCATTCATAAGTTGGGAACTTACTGTACAAAAGAAAATATATCATCTCTATTTTCATACATGCTTATCTAGCCACATATTTAAGAAAGATGTACCATAGTTGTTAACACTAGTTAATATTCTGGTTGGGATCAGGGTACTAGTTGTTTAGAGTAGAAACTTTATTCATATTACTCTTCTGTTCTATTTGTATTATTCGCATTACTTTTTTAAAAAATAGCTCAATTTTGGGATGGTAGAATAAAGGCTTCCAAAAATCTGCATCTATATAAAAGCAATAATAACAATGGAAAAAACTATCAAAAGCACTTTTTTGCAGAACTCTGGAAATTAAAGGCTTGCAAGAATCTGAGGAGTGTTTATTTAAGAAAAGTTCCCCCATCCAAAAACAACAGCAAAAAAGAAAGAAAAAGAGAGAAAGTGGAGGAATAAGGGAGAGGCAAAGAAAGAGGGAGAGGGGCAGTACAATGGAGGGAGAAAGGGGGGGGGAGAGAGAGAAAGTGAGTCAGAGGGAAGGAGAGGTGTGTGAATCTCAGTAGGAAAAGCAAACTTTGTGGTATTCAAGTTAGTGCTGATCTTATCCCTTGTGGAGCAGTTTTGAAAATCAAACACTTCACTACTATGGTAGCTGTGCAGACTAGTTGCTTAGGAGTCATTGAGAGGTTAGTTCTACATCTGAAAACAGTTTTAAGAGTTTTCAAACATCCATCCTCAAGAATTATCACTGTTTGATCTGTATGACAGCTCACCAATCTCCATTTTCAGGGCCAGTTTTCATTTCAGCCCACTCAGATCTACCATTCTGCAAACATCAGCAGCAAGTATTCAATAATGTAAGTATTAGTGGTGGCTTTAACAACTGGAGGTAACAAAAAGACCGAAAATATTAAAATGAAAAATTGGGGAATGAAATGTCCATAGGGGGCCTATGAAAAGCTTTAACATATCCCTTCCTTGTAATCTAGAGAAACATATACATGCATAATGCTTTATGAATGACCAAGAAAGACCTGAGAAGACTAAGCTCTCAATTCTGACTAAGCTTGAGGCTCTGTGTAAGCAGAAAGTGAAGGCCAAGGCTAAAGCAGAGATATAAATTGTCTGCAGAAGAACAGAAGCCATTCAGTTACAAACACACAGTCCTTTGGTAAAGGCTGGGCAATGTATTGGTGTAATCTCCAATCAATCATTAGCTGACCACAAAAGTACAAAAGTAGACACTTTAATGGCCAAACAACATTTCATTTAAAATGTTCAGTTTGAACAACAAATTATGAGATATACAAAGAGGAAAATAATGTCTATACGGTACAAGTGAAAAGTAGTCAATAGAAACTCTTCCTGTAGAAACCCAAATGTCGGACCTAAGACAAAGATCTTAAATCACCTGTAACAGTTATGTTCAAAGAACAAACAGAAACGTCTAAAAGTGAAAGGAAAACATGCAGATGATGTCTCACCAAATAAAGAGTAACAAGAAAAAGTAATTACTTCTTCAGAATGAGGTAGAAATTATGGAGCTCAAAAAAAGTATAGTGTAATATCAAATGAAAAAATTCACTAGGAAGTCTGACAAGCATATTTATGCAGGCACAAGAAAGAATGAATAAACTTGAGAATAATGAACTAAAGATAGATCAACTGAGATCACCCTGTATAAGAATTAAAGGCCAAAAAGAATTTTAAAAAATTAACAGAGTTCGCAATACCTATAGAATGCTACCTGGCATCCCTACACATACATAATGGAAATTCTAGAAGGAGAAGAGGAAGACATAATATTTATAAAAAATAATTGCTAAAATACTTTTATAAAAATAAATTTAAAAAGAACCATATGAAGATTCAACAAGCTCAAGTTTTGTATAAAGCTCAAAAAGATACACATTAGACGACAACTACAATCAAAATATCAAAAGGAAGGAGAAAGGTAATATTGGAAGTAGCAAGAAAAAAATCAGACTCATCATTTACAAAGATAGCTATAGTGAAATTTGGAATTAATGCCCCAACAGAAACTATGGAGGCCAAAAACACTGGTATGACATATTTAAAAAGTGAAAGAAAAAGGTTGTCAACCAAGAATTTTACCTCCAGCAGAACTATTTAGCAAAAGTGAAAGGGAAAGCAAGATCTTTTCACGAAAACAAAAACTAAAAGACTATGTTACCAGCTTTTTTTGCCGAAGAAATAAAGAAGGGAATCCTTCAGGCTGAACTGAAGGATACTAGACAATAATTTTAATCTACATAAAGAAATAAAAGCACCAGTAAGTATTTTTCCTTGCAACTCTCCTTTTTTATGTAAAAACAAACACATAATTTAAAAGTGTTGATAAGCATATAATGTATGACAGTATAATTTGTAGGACAATAATAGTACAAATGGTACTAGGGATCGAACTTGGGTCTTTGCACTTGCGCAGCAGGCAGCGAAACCACTGAGCTAAATCCCCGGCCCGATAGTACAAACTTGAGGGAGAGTGAATGGAACTACATAAGATCGAACTGCAAAGTTTTTTGAATTGAAATTATATTGGCTTTAATTTAAATTATTTTACATTAAGATATTAAAATATTACATTAAGATATTTTATATTAAGATATTAATCACAAGGACAACAATTAAGAAAATAACTAAAACATATAGTAATGAAGAAACATATAGAAATGAATTGAATTGGAAAAAAATAAAGAAAAAAAGCAAAAAAAGAAATGAATTGAAATGGTATGTTAATACTATTTGTCAAACATAAAAGAAGGGGAGGGATGAAGGAATAGCTGTTAGGAGGAAAGACAGATACACAGTAAACAGCTGAATGGGAGATAAAATACGAGTAATTATTTTAAATGTAAACAGAGTCAACACTCCAATCAAAAGATAGAGATTGGCAGAATGGCTAAAAAATATGATCCAACTATATACTATCTATAAGAAATATATCTTATAATGTGAAATAGGAAGAAAAGGGGCAAAGGGGAAGGGGAAGTGGGATGGGTAAGGGGAAAGGAAAGAAGGGAATGGAATTAATATGAGAAAATGGAAAAATGGAAACAAAGTCTTTGTAAATAGGGAGGGATGGAGGGGTTGAAGGGAGGGCTGGGCAAGGGTGAAAAATAAGAACCAAGAGAGATTATGTAAAGGTGCAAATTTCCAATGATGAATGTCATTAGGGGTAGAGGTAGTGGGAGGGACAGGGGAAAGGAAAGAAGGGAAAGGAAAAATGCTGAGAAATGGAAAAAATGGAAACATAGTCTTTGTAAATAGGGAAGGGTGGAGGGGTTGAAGGGAGGGCTAGGAATGGGGAAAAAAATAAGAACGAGATGCATCATGTAAAGGTACAAGTTCCCAATGAGAAAAGTAAATGTGTTGTATACCTAAAATGTACCAATGAAAGAATTTAAGTAAAAAAGAAAAAAAAAAGAAATATATCTTAGATTCAAAGAGAAAAATAGGTTGAAAGTATAAGGATGAAAAATATGGAAGCAGTAATTTAAATAGAGGTGAATATAAACTGGTACTTGAAACAGACATTTTTAATAAAAAAAGACATAACAGACTGAATTAACTATTAGAAATACCTGAATCTAACAACAAAGACACAAAACAAGTGGAGCAAAAATTCACAACTCACAGAACTGATGGAAGAAATAGACAATTTAACAATATTAGTAGGAGACATCACTTAACCATTTACTCTTAATAATGAATACAATAACTAAGCAGTAGAATTAAGAGGGAAATAGAAGACATGAAGAGCATTACAAACAAAGTAGACTTAATAGACATCTATAGAATACTCCATCTAACAAGAGTAGAAAACAATTTTTCTCAAATGTACAAGGAAACTCACAGATACGGTATTTTGATAGGGATTGCATTAAATCTGTGTATCAGTTTTGGCGGTATGGCAATTTTCACAATATTTTTTCTGTCTATTCGGAAATAGGGGTTGTTCTCTTCGATCTCCTTCTTCAGGATACCATGGCTTTCATTACAGAAGTCTTTAAACTCCTTGGTTAGGTTAACTCCTAAGTCCTAAGAGACCATTGTACTGGTATTGTTCTCCTAATTTCATTTTCTGTGGGCTCATTACTGGTATACAAGAACACTAGTTATTTTTCTGTGTTAACATTGTATCCTGCCACATTGCTGAGTATTTCTTACAATTTTAAAGAAATTTATCCACAACTGGAAAATATGGAGAAGCCTAATGCCATTTTACTCATTTGAAACTGAAGTGTCCCCATTGCTTGCCCTCAGTAAGCACTTAAAATCTCCTCTCTGCTCCTAGTATGCTGAAATTTTGTGATGATTTATTTTTGTGTGAACCATTTGTTTTTTTTTTTTCATTTATTGTACTTGGATACCTGTATCAGTGAGATTAGTCTTTCAT